TGGGACCTACGGGAATGTCCCTGAATGCCTGTCACCCACAAGAAGGCCACGTGTGAGCCCAGGGCCCAAGGGAGGACGACCGTCCACTTTCTCTGTGTGAATACAGGATTCTTCGCTTTCAAAATCCCCGTCCCCTGGGCACCGACCCCAGGCAAGTCCTCCTCAGCAGCGGTGGCAAGGACAGGTCTGGTTCAAGCTCTCCCGGCACGGGGTACGGGGTTCCCTCGGCCTCAAACTGTTCTTTGCTCACTGTGCTGTGTGGGTCTCAGCTCTCTTCTGACTGGGGGTTCACGCAACAAGTATGTACCCAGCACAAAACCTGTGCTGGGGACCAGCAGGGCACAAGTCTGAGCAGACTCTTGCCCCTTCCGGGGAGGGGACAGACCTTGAGTAACTGATCCCACAAACGGGACTACAACCCAGCGTGGAGGGAGTTGGCACCACACATACTGAGGGGGGCTTGGTCTGGTATGGGGCAGATAAGCCTCTTCTGAGCCTCATTCAGAAAAGCAGTGGAAACACATCCTGGGACCCCAGGTCAGCAAGAACGTGGCATGCTGAGGGCAGGGGTGGAGGACAGGAGGCGGCTGAGCGGGGAGGGACGTGGCAGGGCTTCTCAGCTGCTCCCTGGAAGAGACCCCCGCCCCGCCGCAGCACGGTCAGTGCACCTCTCACCTCCCCCAGCGACTCAGGCCTGAGCTTTCGCTCTTCCCCATGCCGCCCCCCGCTCCATCCTGCTCTGACCTCTAACGATGACTGGCCGAGGGCTTCCCGTCACCAGGCACAATGTCCGCATCCTTGGGCAGCTCAGGACGGGGAACGTACAGCTAAACAGGCAGTCTTTCCCGACCTAGCTTGCTTCTGCCTAAAAACCTCCCATGATTCTTCACCGAGAAGCTAGATTTCAAACTCCTCAGCACAGAACTCAGGGCCCGTCACTGTCCCCAAAGCACCTGCCATCGTCCGCCCATTGCTGTCACTGGCAGCTGCGTGGCCGTGCTGTCGTGCCTCTGCGCGTGCTCCCCTGGCCAAGAAGCCCTTCCCTTTCCTTCTCCACTGCCACTGTCTCCCAGAGCAGCCCCCACCCAGGAACCCCTGGACCGGAGCACCCCCATCCTGTGTGTTCCCCGCCCGACAGCGGAGCCCATGGGGCAGTGCCGTATCCTCTCTGCAGCTCCGGGGCCTAGCGCAGTGCCTAAGACGTGGCTCGTTATACAAGCTGAAGAGCTGGGGGAGTGACAAGGACACGTGTGTGCATGCCTGTGCCCCTGGGGCCCTTTACCTGTCATTGGGGGTCAGCTGGCAGCGTCTGATGTCTGGCACGGAGGTGACCCCACAGCGCTTGTACTGCCCATCCCCAATGGAGCGGGACACTTCCAGCACACCCAAGACACGCCCATCCCTAAAATGAGGGGAGAACACTCAGACTCTATCCGCCAGGTCACGGGGCCACAGCATTTACAATATGACCTTAAAAGCAGAAAAATCGGACAAAGTGGAAGGTGCAGTCTGCAGAATTCACGTTATTAACCAGCACGGACATTCCTGACCTCACGCACAACACGGAAAAGCGTGCTCAGTCTTCACTGCGGTCGGTCACCACCATGCCTCCTGCTCCTGGCACCTCAGCCCAGCTGCACACGGAAGGGAACAGCGCCCCCCTCTGGCTGCCGCTCATGTGCCAGCACTGGCCCAACCTGCTGATTGGCCCACAGCCCAGAATCAGACTTGGACCTTGATGGGACTCGGGTGCGGGCCTGGCTTTGTCTGTCTGTCATTTTGTTCTTTACCCTAAAGCTCCTCCAGTGACTCGAGCATGTGGCCTGGCCCCGAACAGGTGGGGCTAAGGGCACTTTCGCATTTCACGTCAATCAGATTTGGGAGATACTCGAAGGCGACTATCCCCACGCCCTAGGCACCCTTCCTCCCTACTGGGTCTGGGCTGGACTCGCAGCACCCGGGGTCGGCGGCCTCCTGTGCAGCGTGGCACTACCGCCCGTTCTCCTTCCAGGGGAGGGTGGGGTGGGGGTGACAGAGATGGGCTCCTCGTTGTGAGACAGCTCCCACCGCAGGGGAACGGTCCTCAGCTCGACTCCCCGAGAACATTTTACTGCAACCTTGGCAGCTGGCACCTCCCGGGCCCCCACACCCTGGCTTATGCACCCAAGGGAAAAGCCACAGTGGACGGGGTGCGGGAGGGCGCTGGGCGGGCACTGACACTGGGCCTGAAGTGCGGTGTCCCCGGGGGCTCCCAGTGCTGGAGCAAGCAGCTCTGCAGATGCTGTGGGCGCGTGCCTGGGGCAGGGAACTCCGCGCCTGGGCCCTTCGCCGAGCCCACGAAGCCA